CTATTTGTTTATATAAATACAAATGCATATATATATACACACAAACAAACACACACACATATATATATATGTGTGTGTATATATATATATGTATATATATATATAAATATATATACATGTATACATATATATAAATATATATACATGTATATATATATATAAATATATATATATGTATATATATATATATATGTATATATGTATATATATATATATATACATATATGTATATATATATATTTGTAAATATATTTATATGTATATATATATACATATGTATATATATATATATGTGAGTGTATAGATACATAAACATATATATATATGTTTATATGTATATGAATAAATGTACAAACATGTATATATATGTACATATATACATATATACATACACATACATTTAATATATATATAATTATATAATATTTGCATATATGTAAATTTACTTATTTATACATATATAAACAACACCTCTAAATCAAGGGCAGTAGATCCATAATACTTATTTGTTCTTAATGTACTTAAACGGTTTATCTCAGCACACAATTGCTAAAGATTAAAAGTTAAAAACTGAGGATACAGTTCTATTGTTTTGAGACTGAATTAAAACTACAAGTCCCTGTCAGGAAAGCAGAAAATTACCACTAACTTCAATGAATTAAGTCAAATTAACTACACCAGAACATAATGTCACATGAAACTTGCCCTTGAATTGAGCATATGGTTGCTATTAAACTAACAATGAAGCACCAACTGAAACTGTTGCAATGAACATGGACATCTAGTTCCACAAACATCATTAAAAATCCAGTAAAACTCTGTAAGCTGCTGCAAGTTGATTGATTTTTTTTTACTATTAGAGCACCATCATGATCAAAAAAGATTTCAATATTTCTAACATTAATTTTTTTTTTACTTTATAGCATATTATGAACTCTGACTTTGATGAATCACGCTTGCCAGGGAACTTTCGAATGATCTGCTTTATAATCTTTCTAATCACTTAAAACATCAACTTCACTCTTCTGGATGCTATTTCAAAAAGATCATCTGTGCATTAGGGAAAAAATAGTCGGCCAAAAGTTTTACATAAAAAGACTAAAATCCCAAACCTGAAGCCTTGCTGACATCATACACTTTCAGTAAATTTTTTGTCACCCAATTATCATTCCATGATCAAATCCATCGAGGTGGATCTTAATCAATTAATATTTAAATGAAAAGGAAAGACAAACAATGAGAATGTTAAAGGTAAAGTAAATGGGTAAGCAAGCAACACCAGTGACAAAAACATAAAGAAAACTTACGATTAAAAAACAAAGAGAGAATTTACATAGCATATTATTATCGACAGACAAGTCAAAATTTTTAAGTTCACAAAACCGCATATCAGAGTAACATAAACAAAGTAATTGACAGAATATTAGCAGTACCATATCCTTTGTTCTTTTCGGTGAAGACACCTTTTTAGGCAATATATCAGCAAGTCCATCTGGTTGCTGGAAGCAAGAAAGAGTGACTCTTGGCAGAATTGGATAAAAAAAGGAATAGATTATTTAACAAGCAAAGCAGGATTAAAACAACACCTTATAATTAGGAGTTTGTCATGCCCTATTTGTTTATAAAAATACATATGCATATATATAAATACATACACACACACACATATATGTGGGTATATATATATATATATATATATATATATGTGTGTGTGTGTGTGTGTGTGTGTGTGTGTGTGTCTGTGTGTGTGTATAGATATATAAACTAATATATATGTTTATATGTATATGAATATATGTACATACATGTTTATATATGTATATATATACATATATAAATACACATACATTTATATATATATATATATACATATATATAATTTGCATATATGTAAATTTATTTATTTATACATATATAAACGACACCTATAAATCAAGGGCAATAGATCCATTATGCTTATTTGTTCTTAATGTACATAAACGGTTTATCACAGCACACAATTGCTCAAGATAAAAAGTTAAAAACTGAAAGGATACAGTTCTATTGTTTTGGAGACTGAATTAAAACTACACGTCCATGTCAGGACAGAAGAAAATCACCACTGACTTCAATGAATTAAGTCAAATTAACTAAACCAGAACATAGTGTCACATGAAACTTGCCCTTGAATTGAGCATATGGTTGCTATTAAACCAACAATGAAGCACCAACTGAAACTGTTGCAATGAACATGGACGTCTAGTTCCACTAACATCATTAAAAATCCAGTAAAACTATGTAAGCTGCTGCAAGTTGATTGATTTTTTTTACTAATACGCACCATCATGATCAAAAAAGATTTCAATATTTCTAACATTTATTTTTTTTTACTTTATAGCATATTATGAACTCTGACTTTAATGAATCACACTTGCCAGAGAACTTTCGAGTGATCTACTTTATAATCTTTCTAATCACTTAAACAATCAACTTCACTCTTCTGGATGCTACTTCAAAAAGATCATCTGTGCATTAGGGAAAAAATGGTCGGCCAAAAGTTTTACATAAAATGACTAAAATCCCAAACCTGAAGCCTTGCTGACATCATACCAGACGATGTGTTGCTTTCAGTAAATTTTTTGTCACCCAATTATCATTACATGATCAAATCCATTGAGGTGGATCTTAATCAATTAATATTAAAATGAAAAAGAAAGACAAACAATGAGAATGTTAAAGGCAAAGTAAATGGGTAAGTAAGCAACACCAGTGACAAAAACATGTACAAAACTTATGATTAAAAAACAGAGAGAGAATTTACAAAGCATATTATTATCGACAGACAAGTCAAAATTTTTAAGTTCACAAAACTGCATATCAGAGTAACATAAACAAAGTAATTGACAGAATATTAGCAGTACCATATCCTTTGTTCTTTTCGGTGAAGACACCTTTTTAGGCAATATATCAGCAAGTCCATCTGATTGCTGGAAGCAAGAAAGAGTGACTATTGGCAGAATTGGATAAAGAAAGAATAGATCATTTAACAAGCAAAGCAGGATTAAACAACACCTTATAATTAGGAGTTTATCATGCCCTATTTGTTTATATAAATACAAATGCATATATATATATATATATATATATATAT